GAGGGCATCATGCCTGACAGAGCAGAGTCTATGAAAAGAGGAAGAGCCTCAACGACATGACTCTAAACAGTGGCTACAACACTGGAATCAAACACAGCAATACTGCGATGGCCCTGGACTAGGCAGTTTAGTGCTGCTATATATGGGGTCATGATGAGTCAGAACCAACTCAGTGGCACCTAACAACAAAGGCCACTGGGGCCAAGTTTATTCTTTGCCGAGTCTTGTAGGTGTGTTCTATCAGTTAGCCTATAGTTGCTCTATGTGCTGGGATAGGAAGACCTGAGAAGGGATGTAATACAGGAGCCAAGCTAGGAGGTGAAACAAATATGTACACAATTCACGTACAAACTCCAATGAACATGTCATAAATCTTGGGCTTTTTCCTCTGGTTTGATCTGCTGCCTGCACCTCACCCTTTTCCCCCTCTGCAACAGGTTACAAGAACTTTTTAAAACAGAATTTGTGCTTAAATACTTTCTATGTTGTTATTAAGTACCGTGGAGTTGGTTCCGACTCATAGTGACCCTGCACAGGGTTTCTGAGGCTATCCTTACAGGAACAGAAAGCCTCATCTTTCTCCCACAGAACGGCTGGTAGTTTCGAACTGCTGACCTTGAGGTTAGCTGCCCGATTTGGAACCACTACGCTCCCAGAGCTCCTTATTTCTATATCTTACTTAAAAAATGAGCTCAACCAGTTCCTTTCCAATTTTCCATAAAAATCCAAATGAACTTTCTAATTTTTACATAAGTGGCCCTCATCAAGAACTTCCCATTCTTTACAGTTCTCCTTCTACCCCCACCCAGGTCCAATAAGTCATCTCCAATTTGAATCATCATCATTCTGTTTCTTACACCTCTCCTCCCATACAATTTAAGTCTAATGACTTAAACAAAAAATAACATCTACTATTTTGACTCAGTATAAATTTTAACATTGGCTCAACAATTAATGTGGTTTGACAAATGTTCTAGTTTTGAATCTCTGGCACCAAGACTACTGAGAAAACAAGCCCTATCCAATGTAAGTGCCACTCCTCCTTCTGAAAATGCCCAAGTCTACATTGTTGTCCTCAGAGGAAGGCCATCTTCTTCCATGGTCAGACTTAACTGGTTCCCTCGCCACCCCCCACCCCACCCCCAATCTTCTCACCAACCCTGAACTCTCCACCAAGTGCTGGAGCAATTCTGGAGAAGTGAAAGCTGACATCAACTCAGACTCCCATTAAAATGTCACCAATGGCTTCCCAGCAAGCCTAGAATCAGTCCAACTCTTACACCCAATACTGGCCTCACAAGGGCATCTTCTCACATTCGTATTTCAGTCTGCCTTTGGGGCTCTTCCCCAGTCTTATTTTTACTACAGCACTAGCAGTTTTCCCTGAATGTTTGTTCTTAAAATACAACCCTATCCTGGCTAGCCTTGGCCCTTTAGGAAAGAGAAAGGGTCAATGGGTTTTCACAAGAGTAGAACCAGTCCCATCCCTGTACAGACTGGGGCAGGTTGGCCTCCTTTGAGCTTCATCATTATCAAACTATGGAGAATCAATCTTTCACTTCTATGCATAGTGCGCATTATGTACCAGATTGTGCATGATTTGTGGAGAATCAAATTGTTTAGACTTAATTGTTGCTAAAAGTACACTTTTTACAGTTGCCTGTGTATTCTCTTTTGCATTCCATTTCTGTCTTGCTGGGTTTTTGTCTGTATCTAGGTGGATTCTTGGGAGTCCTGGTATAGTGCTGTAGGATGAGCACAGAACTGCTAACTGTGAGGTTGACAGTTCAAACCCACCAGCCACTCCTTGGAAATTCTACACAGGGTCCTCCCTATGAATCAAGACTGACCTGACAGCACTTAACAGCAAAAAGTGAATTCTGAATAGTTCCACTATAGTATGCACAGGTACAGCGCTGTGAGATAAGCACTGGGCTACTAACAACAAGGAGTCTTGGTGAGGTGCTGTGGGTTAATGCGCCAGACTGCAACGCCATTCAAACTGCAAGGTTGGTGGTTCAAGCTCACCAACTACTCCTCAGAAACCCTATTCAGGGTCGAGATCGACTTGACGGCACTTAACAACGAGATGGATTGGCCAGGTGGCAGCATCGTTGAACTCAAGCGTGGCAACAGTAGTGAGGTTGGCCCAGGATCAGGCAGTGTTTCGTTCTGCTGTGCATAAGGTCGCTATGAGTCGGTGCCGACTCGATGGCACCTAACAACAAGGTCAGCGGTTCAAACACCCCAGCTGCTCCTTGTTAAACCCCCTATATAAGTTCTCTGAGTCAAACTGACTCGACAGCAGTTAGCATGCATATTACAAAGGAAGAAATTAAATTTTTGCCCACGGATAGAAGTTATTTTAGAGCTTAAGTACTTGTGAATTAGTGATCAAAAACTTAAAATACACGTGGGCAAACCAGGAGGACTTTATGCTGAAAACACTCATTAAAGAACAAATAGCGTGTGACATCATCACAGTGGAAGTTTAAAGGTTTCCATACTAAAAGGGAGGGGAGAGTAATTCACTGGCTAGAGCGCAGACATCTGATGAGGAGGGCAATACATTAAGAAAGGGGACGGCAACATACAAGACGGAGGGAGAATAATGAAGACAGGTGAAGACAGAGAGAGGTATGCATGGGCTAAAGGGGATAGAGGTAAATAGTGATATATACACAGCCTTGGAACAACAGTGTTCTGTGCTTAAGATACATATATGAGACTGTAGGCTGAGTGGGTAGGGGAAGAAAAGTGGGATAAATATATTTCTAATATATCCTAACGTGTAAGGGCTTGAAAGAGGGTAAAGTGGGATATTGTATATGAGCAGTTACCCTTCCTGTTAAACACTACTATAAATGTGGTAGAACATTGTTGTTGCCATCGAGTAGGGAACTGACTCACAATGACCCTGTACAGGGTTTCCAGGGAGCAAGGAAATGCCAGCCTTAATGGCCCAAACCAACGTTGCAGTTTACCGCATTAACTGGCAGCGCCACACCAGAAGTGGTAGAACATAGGGCAGGCAAACTTATGAAAACTTCCTTGATAGCATCAGCTAACAAGGTAATGAGTTGCTGGGCCTTGGGGCTCAGGACCACAGTCTCAGGGGACACCATAGTCAATTGGCACAACCTAGTCCACAAAAATGATGTCCTCCATCATTCTGCTTGGGTGAGTAACTCCTTTAACAGCCCTCTGAGGTAGGTACTACTTAACACTTTCATTTTGCAGCTGAAGAAACTGGTACCAAGAGGCTAAGCAGCCTGTCCAAGGTCACCCCATTAGGGAACTAGATACCACTGCTGATACATCTGCTTCACAGATATTGGAAGCAACAGCTTTTTATGTAACATGGAGTCCTATTGTGGTGCTATAGGGTAAGCACCAGACTTCAAGTTCGGTTTGAACTGCGAGGTTGGCAGTTCAAATTCACTAGCCACTCGTTGGAAACCCTATACAGAGATGATATGAGTTGAAACCAACTCAATGGCATTAAACAATAATATAAACTAATATATTTAGGTACCAGCACAAGATCCCAATGCTTTCTGTCCTCCAGTTCCTTAAGTTGCTTTCGCAACTATCACCACACCAAACTTTCACTTCCAGATTGAGCCTTGCACTGAGTTGCATCAGTTAATTTTTCCAGTGAGATTTCAAACTTCCGGTCTTAACCAAATAGCTCTTTTTATTATCCCTTGAACTGGTGTATCTCGTAATCATTCTACTCCGTAACCCCCACATCTAGCTCTATTTCCATTCCTCTTTTAACCTAATTCAGAATTTAGTTACCTCACCTCCACAACAGAGGTTACATCTACTGAGTAGTTTCTAGTTTACCTCATACATCACTACTTAAAAACTCTACCCAATATTTTAAAAGAACCATCCTCAAGAAATCCTACCAAACAACTAAATCCTAAATAATCTTCTATGAAAATGTGGCTATTCCGAATCTAGAGTACCACTTGTTTGGCAAGAAATCATATTACATTTTAAGTTCATGTTTTATTTTTCAAGTCTTCTCTAACTGGACAATGAAGTCAGACCTTGTCTCTTCTAGGATATAGCCCACAGCACTGCACATGGTGGCTGGTTAATTTCATAGCTTCTGAATGGATCAGTACTCTGGTCTTTGACCATATAGCAAAGCACCTCCTCATTCATGAGGACACTTGGACAGTGTTGAGTGTCCTTGATGGAAGGGATCAATCACTTTCCATATCTGAAGAGGTGGGGGAGTGGAGGATGATTCTCCAACAGTAAGCTCTCTAAAGTGGAGTAAGGCCGCAAATTAGATCCATCTGTATTAGTGGGGAAGAGGCAATGCTAAATGCCTCTAAGAACAGACTAAGAACAGTTCTGGGTCCTGGGAATCCCAGTGACATGCAGCAGCAATTCCTCTCCCTCCCTTTAGTTCTTCCTCTTGTAAAAGATCCAAATTCAGCAGCATCTTTTTCCTGTTCTTAAGTCCCCAACCTGACAAAGAGATCGCAGGCACCAAATGCTGGAAAGGGTAATAACACAGGCCTCAGACACCTGCCTCCAGCTCTGCATGGCAACAACAGCTTGTATCAGTGAGTTAGTGAAAATCCACCAGGAAGGAACAGCACCAGCCAGAGACCAGAGAAGCAGCTGGTCAGAAGCTCTAAGGTTGCCAGACACAGGCTTCAGAGGGATATAAGCGGAACATCAGGGGCCTTCCAGGCCACATAAACTTGGCAAGACAGGATCCTATAATAGTGAAGGTCACCTCTGTGTGTACGGAGGGGTGTCAAGGACAAAGTCAGCTCAGTTATCTGAAGAGAAGCAGCACAGACAAATCTTTCAGGGGAAAGGAAACAACCATAGTAGTATCCTGGTCACATCAAGGCAACTCTCCTCCGTGACAAGCCTGAGTGGTTGCTAGGCCAGCTGCAAGCCAGAGGCAGGTTTCCAACTGGTGACTGGGAGACAGCAGGGTACTTTGAGGGACCTCCAGGAAGGAAAGCTCACTCTCGAGGCCGGTTAACTATGACTTCACCCAAGGCCTCCAGCACCTCCCGCTTGTAGTCCTCAAAGTCACCGTCAATCTGGCTGACGCTCTGCTCCTCCACCACCCACAGCTGACAGTTGGTTTCTGTGATAAGTCGGGCATCGTGGCTGACGACTATCACCGCTTTGAAGAAAGGGAGGAATCAGAACACACAAGGAGGAGAACCCTGGCTAAAGGACACCACAGCGCTTGGTCCCCAAGGGGAGAAGGGGCCTGCTCTAAGCTGACTTACCACCTTTGTATTCATTGATGGCTTCCCCAAGAGCATCAATAGACTCAATGTCCAAATTATTGGTTGGCTCATCCTGTGGAGGAGGAGGGATTCCATGACTCAGCACTTACAACCCCACGCCCCACCCCTACTCTCCAGTATTGTTCCCCTTGATCCAGATCCCACAGCCCAGCTCACTCACCAAGATGAGGACATCAGGCTCCCGGCAGGCCAGCTCTGCAAACACAACTCGGGCTTTCTGTCCACCTGCAGCACAGGAATAGGAGGCCCATCACACTTTCTACCACCTTACATCTCTGATGTAGACCTCTGAATATGTGTGTGTGCTGAGGAGCCCCAATTCAGGGCTCCTCTTGTTTGCTGCCTCTAGGTATAGTTTGTAAATATGAATGAGAAGCAATGTGTCCCTCTCACTCCACTACATTGTACCAGAGAGTTTGCAGATCTGGATGGTGTGGGCATGACTCTCCAGGCCGAAGCGGCCCAAGCACTTTCGGGCATCCTGGTAGGGCAGGTTGAAGCCATGCTGTAGGTACTCAGTGGGTGTCTCCTCCATACGTAGCTGCTCTGCATACTGCTGGTTGAAGAAGCCAATTTTCTGCGTAACCAAGAGGATAGGGAGGTGGTCAATGAAAGTCATACTTTTACCAGATTTTTTATTCTCCAATTTCCAAAGCCGACTTACCAGCCGGTGATTCTTTCTCATTTCCCCTCGGGTCTGCAATGAAAAGGCAAGCAGTTAGAGGGAGCAGGGAATGGAAAAACATCTCTGCATTTTACCTTGTCTGAAGGAGGGACAAATACCAATTGAACAAGAACCACCAAGCACAAGAAAGGGCACATGGATATTCACTCTAGCATGAAAAAGGCACAGCTAGGAAGTGAAAACAATAAAAGGCAAAAGGGGAATGAGAACATAGGAAGAAAGACTCAGAACCAGAAAAACATCTTCCTACATAGTAAGACTCATGAACTCACATTTTAAGAATTCTGCGTCAGATAGCGTACAGAGACTGTGTGCATGGGCTTGAATGGTTATGTTCTATAGATGTACTCTGTGGGCAGAACAAAAGGGCCCACCTTCTCCACATTCTACAGAAATGGCTACAGCCTTTCTAAATACTATGTGGGGATATTGCGAAAGTCCTGTTAACAACACGTAAGTTTTTCTATACTCATCCATAAAGACTTAATAACAAGAAAATTTACTGTAGTACAAACATATCTTGTTTTACTGTATGCTGATTTATTGTGCTTCACAGATATTGGGGTTTCTTGTTTTCACCAACTGAAGGTTTGTGGCAATCTTGCATCGAGCAAGTCTATCAGCACCATTTCTCCATCAGTATGCTTTCACTTCATGTCTGTCATACTGTAGTAATTTACATATTTCATACTTGTCCATGATGCTACTGCACACTATATAGACTACAATATAACGTAAACACAACTTTTGTATGCACTTTTGAAGTGTCATTGAGTTGGTTCCAACTCATTAAGTGACCTTCTGCACAACAGAATGAAACACTGCCTGGTCCCACACCATCCTCATAATCATTGTTACATTGAGCACATGGCTGCTGCCACTCTCAATCCATCTCATTGGGGGCGGGGGTGGCGTCTTCCTCTTTTTCACTGACCCTTTACTTTACAAAGCACAACGTCCTTTTCTAGGGACTGGTCCCTCCTGTTAATATGTCTGATGTGTGAAAGATAAAGTCTGGTCATTTTCTAAAGAGCATTCTGGCTATACTTCTTCAAACACAGATTTGTTTGTTCTTCTGACAGTCCATGGCAGTTTCAATATTCCTTTCTAACACCAAAATTCAAATGCATCAATTCTTCTATGGTCTTCCTTATACACTGTCCAACTTTCACATGCATATGAGGTCAACTGAAAACACCATGGCTTGGATCAGGTACACATTAATCCTCAAACTGGTTATCTTTGCTCTTGAATACTTTAAAGATGTCTTGTGCAGATTTGCATAACACAATACGTCATCTGATTTCTGGACTACTGCTTCCAAGAGTGTTGATTATGGAGCCAAGCAAAATGAAGTATTTGACAACTTCCATCTTTTCTCCATTTATTTAGCTTATGTATTTATTGGTCCAGCTGTGAGGATTTGTTTTCTTTACACTGAGGTGCAACCCATACTGAATGAAGGCTGTGGTCTTTGATCTTCTTCAGCAAGTATTTTAAGTCCTCTTCACTTCCAGCAAGCAAGGCTGAATCATCTGCATATCACAGGTTATTAATGTGCCTTCATCCTATCTTGATGCCATGTTGTTCCTCATATTTGCTTAGCACACAGATTAAGTATGGTTAAAGAATACACAACCCTGACTCATACCTTCCCTAATTTTCAACAATTCAGTATCCCCTTGTTCTGTTTGAACAACTGCCTCTTGGTCTGTGTGTGGTAGGTCCATAAATGTTTTGAAACTCCGTTTCTTTTAATACCAGAACGTGCATGTGGGGGGTGTCCCTGAGTCCCATCCCAATTCTTCTAGGTCTCCTCCTAGAAGGACTCTAATCTGTCCTATACATCAGGCCTCTGTGGCAGAGGAGGAATTTTGCTCTTCATGGCTCCTGGACTCACTGGGGTCAGCTTGCCCGTCAGCAGCAGGAGTAGGGTACTCTTCCCCACACCATTTGGGCCCACGATGCAAACTACAAGAAGAAAGACAGGAAGTCAAGTAACTTTTCCTCTAGCTCCTGCCCCACATTCCTGAGCCACCAACATCCTCAACTCACTCCTTGAGTCCATATCGATGCCGAAGTCCAGGTTCTTAAAGAGTGGCTTCTGCCCCTCATAGCCAAATGTCACACCTGAGAGCCAAGAAAAGAAGCCATTTACTACCTTTTACCCAAAGGTCCCCTCTAAAATGTCCTCGCCTTAGAGAGAAGGAAGGGGTCCAGTCTTTGGTGTGCATGTCAAGTCTGTACCCACTCACCGTGCAGACCCAGCACAGGAGGGCTGAGGGGTGGGGGGTTTGGGAACGTGAAGCGCACAGTGTATTCCTTGGGGCGCTTTAGGAGCTCAGGGGCCTCCTGGGATTCTTCATCCTGGTTTTTCCGTCTGCATTTCTGCTGCTTTCGAGTCAGGGCTTCCTTTGTTTGCTTTTCCTGCAGAAAAGGAGGAAGAGGAAAAAAAGAAAAATGCACCCTTCATAGCAGTCTTTGAATATGACCCAGAGTATCCCCATCTCCACTCTCACAAGAAGGGAAGCAACCCAGCCCCAGGTGCTCACTGCCTGCTTGGTGGACTTGCCCCCTGCCTTCAGCTCCTTCAGCTTTTTCTCTTGTTTCTCATATTGTTTTAGCAGTTCTTTCTGCTTCTGCTGGTACATCTTCTTGAAGGTCACTGGGGAGAAAGGGGAGATGGGAATCAACAGTTTCTCCTATCTCCAGCAAAGGGCCAACCAATGACTGGTTAAGAATGCGGGTGGACACCATTACCCTGAATTCTGAAAAAATCTGACTCATCATCATGTCCCTAAGGGTCCTCCCTTCCTCCCAGGCCTTTGCTGGAGGCTCCATCTCTTTCCTTCACCCACTAGTAATCCTACTTACTGTAATTGCCCCTGTAGTAATGGAGACGCTGGGCATCAAGATGGATGATATCGGTACAGACATCATCCAGGAAGCCCTGGTCGTGAGAGACAATCAGCAATGTCTTCCTCCAGCCCTGGAGGTAGCTGGGTTAGAGAAGAGTACAGAAGTGTCACAAGAGCCATGTTATAGAAAGTCAGCTGACAGTGAGGTGACAGGTAGGGAGCTGGAGTGAGAACTGTCAAGGACACAATGACAATAGCTAGAAGAACTGGTGGCAGGGAAAGAAATCACAGAACGGGAACCCATAATCAAGAGCAACTCACTTGTTGAGCCAAATGACCGCATTGAGGTCCAGGTGGTTAGTGGGCTCATCCAGCATCAGCAGTGTGGGCTCCATGAACAGTGCCCTAGAGGGTGAGGCCACAAGAGTCAGAGGGGAGGACTGTCTTCTGAGGAGACTCTAGCCGACAAAGCCCAAGACTATGAACACTCCTCCCAAGCTGTCCTCAGAGAAGTTCCTACTCAGCAGATGTTGATGACAAGATCCACCAGGTAGGAAGTGCAATCGAAGAGGATCAAGAGTCACATAATGCAAACAGTGAGAGGGTGAAGTTGGCCTTAAACACTCTCACTGGCTTTGGAAGAACAGAAGAAAAGGCCTGGTTTTTGAAGTTGGAAGGGAAGATGGTAAGGTGGGTGGCTCACCTGGCCAGGGAGACACGCATGCGCCAGCCCCCCGAGAACTTCTGTGTGGGCCTGTTTTGCATTTCAGGGTCAAAGCCCAGACCAGCCAGGATACGTCGTGCCTTGGCCTCCGCAGCTGCAGCCCCTGTAGCTCGCAGCTCCTCATATACCTGGGAGAAGGGAGCAGAGGACAGACGTTTGAGGGCCCCAGGAAGCCCTGGGTGTTAGCCCACATCCCCTGCATCATCTTCTCTACCTTCTCTAGGCGCTCTGCAGCTGCATCATCTCCCTGTTCCAGTTGCCCCTGAAGCCGCCGCTCCTCTTCCAGCAGCTTCAGCCGCTTGGTGTCGGCTCGCAGCACAGCCTGCACTGCTGGTGTCTCATCAGCTACCACCTCTGGGGGTTGGGGGAGCAGTCGAATCACCCCAAGGGTCAAGGGCCCTATTTTCTGTCCCCTTCAGCTCCAGTTCTGACTTACCTGACCCTGCCCAGTCTTTGGACTTGCCCCAAATTTAATATCCAAGTACTATCACCTCTTTCTATTGTATCCCTTTCCCTGTACCCAGTAGTCTCCCCCCTTGTCCTTTGCAACTCCATACCCATCATGTCTTCTAGACTTAACTGGATCTTCTCCCCCAACAGCTCGAGCCCAAATTCCCTTAGCTTTGCCTCCCGCACCAAGTTCCCTTTCCACCACTGGCTCACCCTGCTCACATAGCAGCACGTCGATGTTGGGAGGGATGCTCAGGGCTCGATTGGCAATGTGCTTGAGAAGCGTGGTCTTGCCCTTGCTGGGGAATGAGAGTTCCTAGGACTAGGCCATACCTGAGAAACCACTTTTCCTTCCAGCCCACTTCCCATTTTTATCTCCAGTCCCCTCCTTTCCTCACCCATTGGGTCCCACCAGCCCATAGCGGCGGCCAGCTACAATGTACAGGTCTGCGTTGACAAATAACTCCTTGCCGTGGGCCGAGATGCTGAACTTCTCTAGCTGTAGCCATCAAGGAAGGAAGGGTGGCAGAGGGAAGGGACAAGCACAAGAACACTGTCATTGGGACAGGAGCGGCACGGTTCTCCTTCTAATGAAATGATACCTGGAGCATACCTCCGCCCCAGCTAGCCCTCTTCCCAGTCCACTGCCTCCAAAGGCAGTCTCCCAAATTCTAAGGTCATCCAGTTTGTTCTATCCTATTTCTCTTCTTAGTGTGGGACCCTTTTCTTCCACTAGGTTTTCTAACTTCTTTCTAAAGTTGGCAGAACCCAAGGTGTGGAAAATGCTCCCGAGCTTTCTGCTCAGTGAACACTATCTTCACATCCCACTTCCATGGCTGCAGAGACCACTCGGAAAACGGAAGAGACCTGGCGGTGCCCAGGTAAGGAAGATGTGAGGAGACTCTCAGACCTCACCTTGATGTCAGACGCATTTTCTAACATGGCTTGACGGGAGGACACCTCTGCCTGGGACACAGAGAAGTCATTTTCCGCAGCATTGGCTGCTTTTAATGAAGCTACTTGACGCTCATACTCCATCTGTGAAGAAAGGAAAACGTATGTTTAAGACCATCATCTGCCAGTTTCCCATTACCAAAATACAGCTCCATGCCATCAGACATTGAAAGGACACAGAATGTGAGTCTTTCCTGGCTTCTATTATTTTACTTGAAGTAGCCTCCAAAGTTCTCCTTCCTGTCCTAGAATAGACACGCTTCCTGGATGAAGAGTAACAAAATCATATCCTCCACCCTGCAACATTTGACCACTAAGAACTCAAGGTCTTACCTGTTTCTTCAGCTTTTTCTTCTCCTTTTTGCTGAGGTGAGCATAAGGATCATCTGCCTTGGGCTCTCCACCTTCCTCCTCTTCTTCCCCTTCTTCTTCTGAAGCCTGTGAGAACCACAAAATGGTAGAACAGGAAGACTCATCCAGCCCCAGTCCCGCAGTCCACTCTAGTCTTCTATACCCCACCCACCCCCAGTCCTAGATGTCTTGCTGGATCCTCTTATTCGCACAGCCATCCCCTGCTTTCCTTGCAGTCACTTATCAATTATTGCCCAGAGGACTAGTAAGAGTGTCTGTATGCACAATGGAGCTCTGAACATGTAACTATGAACACCAATACGATGTAACAAGGTGTGGAGTAAACAAATCCTTTCCCACAGGAATCATAAGGTACACTGCTTATAAGCTAATACAAAAAGAAAAGTTTAGGTAGCCTAATATGCAACCACTGAGAAGTCAAGCGGAATTACAGAATTTAACGAGAGCTAGAATTACATGCTCTTGTTGCTGATAAGTGCCATGGAGTCAGTTCTGACCCACAGTGACCTGGTACAGGGTTTCTGTGGCTTTAAATCTTCACGGGAGCAGAAAGCCTCATCTCTCTCCCTTGGAGCGGCTGGCAGGCTCCAACTGTGGACCTTGTGGTTTGGTCCACTGCTTATCATATGGAGCCATGGTACCGTAAATTATATAAGGGAGTGCTCGATTCCCTTATATCATACAGTGAGGTAACTGAGGTAGAAAGATGTATTCTAGGTCACAGAGCAAGTAGGTAGCAAGGTAAGGACCCAGATCACCTGAGGCTAACACCAGGGCCCTTTCCTGTCTCAATCAGGGGTTACAAACTACAGCTCATGGGCCAAATCTGATCTGAACCCTGTTTTTGAACAGCCTGTACGTTAAGAATGATATAGGATAAGCAATGGACCACAGGGTTGGTTTGAACCACAAGGTCGGCAGTTCAAATCCACCAACCGCTCCTCAGAAACCCTATACAGGATCACTATGAATCGGAACTGACTCAATGGAACTCAACAACAAATGTTAGCAATGGAGCCTGGTGTGGTGCTGTATGATTAAGCACTAGACTGCTGACTGAAAGGTCAGCAGATCAAACCCACCAGTCACTCCTCAGAAACCCTATACAGATTTCTATGAGTTTCACTATGAGTTGAAATCAGTTTGACAGTACGTAACAACAACAATAACAAGCGTGAAAATTAAAAAAGGAGAAATACAACAGAGATCATTATGTACCCCACAAAGGTAAAAGGTATTTATTATCTGGCCCTTTTCAGAAAAAATGTCAACCCTTTTTCTGAAAGCAACTGTGTCCCCAGAACTAGCTCAACCATTAGAGGCCACAGAGTCCTTAGTCCCTCTTCTCACCACCCACCCAAGACCTACTTTCTCTGCTTTCTTGCCCTTCTCCTTTCCTTGTCTGGGTGGCTCCTTTTCTTTCATTATTTCTTCATCATCATCCTCTCCACTCTCCAGAGCTGCAAATTTATTTTGAGGCTAAAAGGGACAAGACAATAGGTCTGAGGATAAGTTCTAATTCCCGAGACTCAACAGGCCTTCTTGTCAATTACTCCCTTACCTTGGCCTTCCCCTTCGACTTTTCTTCCTTTCCTTTTTTGCCCTTGAGGCCGGGTTGCTGTTCTTCAGATACAGCCTGGGGAGAAACACACAGACAAGAACATTACTCTGCTATCTTGCTGCTCAACAAGCATTTCTAGGGAATGAGTGTTACTATGTTCAAGTTAACTCTACTGAGCACTGCTATGAAGAAAACAAGACCCAGAAAAAGTCTAGATTCTAGCTTAAGACCAATGAATAAACACTGAGCAGATAATTAGAGGACATTAGCGAAGCCAAGGGATGTGGGTTGGAATGCTCCCTTGAAAGGACAAATCTTGAGGTGAGGAAATGGACATGGGCTCAGGAAGAGGAATTCTAGAGAAGAGAAAAGAGAAGCATAAATAACACATGTTTCAACATAGACAGTCAAAGTGGATGCCAAGATGTGATCAGGCTGATCTGAGAGACATACACAGAAGAGTCCCAAATAAAACTACAGACGAGTCGAAAAGCAAAGACTCAAAGCCCTTATTCTAGTTTTTTGAAAGGCAACAGAATCACTGTAAATTTCTAGGCAATGAAAAGAACATTAAAAATAAAGATGATTTTGACAGCAAATCCAAGACACACCTAGAAGAACTAGTTTAAAAGCAAGAAAACACACTAGAGAATTACCACATCAAGGCCAAAAGGCGCTAAAGGAGGGGGGACTGACTGGTAAAGCCACTACAGTTACCTTATTGATCCGATTCTTCTCAGGCTTCGCAGGCTTAGGAGGACATTTTTCTTCTTCCTCCTCATCTTCCTCACTCTGATCCTGAATTAGGGCTGCAAAAGCATTACCGCCCTAGAGAATGAAAGGGCAGGAGTTGTCAGTGAGACAGTCCACGTTGCATCCCTGGGGTCTCTGTTTATCACAGAGATGTCTTACCTTGGTTTTCTTCCCTCCTCGGGGTACTGGAACAGGTACTGAAAGGACAGGGAGAGAATGAAATAATTAAAGAGAGTGACAATATCTGGTTCCTCCAACTAATCCAATTGAGGTACTTCACTCTTCTCGATTCAGGAATTCCAGGTATCCATCTCCCTCAGGCCACTTACCCTCATCCTCCTCATCACTGGCTGGCACTGAGAGCTTCTTAAGGCGCTCCATGAGTTCTTTCTCCTCTCCATCATCATCCACATCTTTCTTCCGCCTGCCTTTTCGGGTGTCTCGCTTCTTTTTTTGCTGCTAAACAACAGAGTCCAACATCAGTTGAGTGAACAAACGTGAGCTGATTAGGGGCTGATGGGCCCCAGATGCCCCCCAGCACCGGTACCTGCTGCTGCTGCTGCTGCTGCTGTTGCTGCTCCTTCTCCTTGAGTGCTTTCTCTTCTTCCTCAGCTTGCTTATCTTCTACTGCCAGCTCTTCAAAGAACTAGCCAAGGAATTAAGACATATAAAGACAGGCTCAGAGACCAACTGAGCTCTTCTGCCATACACAGGCCCACTGACCCGCCATTTTACCCTCCCCTTGCCTCCTCTTTTGACAAGTCGTCTTCTCCCTCAGACCTCCCACCTCCTTCCCAGAGCCATTTACTTTGCTTTGGAGCACTCATAAACATTTCTTATACTCAAACCTTATTGCCTCACCGTCTTTTTGGTCTTCTTGTCCTTCTTTCCTTTCTTCACCACTTTCTCTACAAGGTTAAGCAGACATTGGAAGAACACTTATCTACAAATGCCAAAGCAGCCTGATCTCCCCAGCAAAGCGCTCAGTGGCCTCCACTGTATTTTACTATTTTGCAACCCAACTGTCACTCCCTAGACATCTGTACTGCCCTACAACTCCTGTAGAATTAAGCATCCCTACCTTTGTTACTTAATCCAGGAAATACTGTTTTACCAAAAAGCTACCATATGTGACACCTAGTTAATACTGGGGATACTGCAATGAACAAGACAACTATGGTTTTCTCTGGAGCGGATAGGCTTTTAAAAGGAGAGTTTTTTAAACTTATCATTTACAAGTGTGCTGAATATTCCCAAAGGGAAGGTAAAGTTTACTACCAGAGGGGTTGGAGGCTAGGGTGCCATCCCTGTCTTGAAAAGATGGCACTTAAAAACATAAGAGACATAGCCAGAAATATCACCATAGAAAGCTTGTAAGTCCATCTTCTGCCTATAACTGATTGGAATACCTAAAATGGGGCTACAACGTGCCCAGTGAAGGAGGCCTCCCGCGGAGCCTCTGTATTACATAAGACTATAGGTGGAATCCTGAACAGCATCCAGACTCTTCAAAGGTGGGAAATTTCCACTTGAAACGACAGCCAGACCAGCCTGGAGCGGCTAGAAGAACAGAAGATACTTCTTGAAAGAGAGACCAACAGGAAAAATACAAAACAATATGGCAGACCAACTGATTACTACAAGAACAAGCAAGTTGCTCGCCCAGGAGGCATCAAGGCAAGTGGTTGGACCCCCTCAGAGCAAACCCCCTTCCAAGACTAAGACTCAATGGGAATACAAACACTGATTTGTGACCACATTCCTTACCGATAAGGGGAAGTGAGGGAAAAACAGTAGCAATGAAGCTGCGAGCTAAGCGCTACAACATTCAAGAGACTCCTGTGAACCTGAGTGGAGACCTGGTTGGACACCAGTGTGGCAAGACCTGGGGACTCTTGGGCCCAGAATCACTGACATAGCCACAGAGGACTAGAGTGGAGAGTGAAGCATCCAGTTGATAAGAAGAGAGGGCACATGCACAAGAACACCCACACTTGCAGATAATACCCACCTGATCTGGCTTCAATGACTGGATGATCAGAGCTCAACTAGAAGAAAGAAGAGGAAAAAGAGTAATCTGATACAGTTTGATGAACTTGACCTACACCTATGGATGCAGTAGCTCAAAAGAGGGGACAAATCGTTACAGCAAGGATCATTCTCATTCCCTCCATACACAGAATAGACAGGGATGGGCAACTTGGACATTAGCTACCCACAGTGGGGAGGGGCGGGTGGTTTTACGAAGGCAAGAAGTGACTGGCTTACAAGATTTCAAGAGGGAACCTGCCCAGGAGACATCAAGGCAAGTGGTCGGGTCCCCTCAGTGCAAACCGCCTTCTAAGACTAAGACTCAATGGGAATACACACTCTGATTGGTGACCATGCTCATCACCGATAAGAGGAAGTGAGGGAAAAACAGCAATGAAGCTGCAAGTAAGCCCTACAATGTTCAATAGATTCCTGTGAGCCCGGGTGGAGACCTGGTTGGCCAGCAGTGTGGCAAAACCTGGGGACTCTTGGGCCCAGAGTCAGTGACAGCCACAGTGGACTAGAGTGGAGAATGAAGCGTTCAGCTGATAAGCAGAGAGGGCATATGCACAAGAACACCCACACTTGCAGATAATACCCACTTGACCTGGCTTCAATGACTGGATCATCAGAGCTCAACCAGAAG